TAGATAAAAAATAAACTAGTTGCTTTTTCTACAGTAAGTTGTTTAAAAACATTTTCAATCGTTCTTAAAAGATAATTCTAATAAATCAGTGAAAAAATGTTAAATATGCAGTGTGAGACTGGCTCAAATTCATTATTAGCTGCAACAATAACAGTTTATTTTGTATAAATACCTTAGAAAATGCATCTGTTTGCCATTTAACCCTTACAAAACTGCTAAGATTACAAATGATCCCTTCTATGGCTTGGAAGTCATGGGAGTGGTATAATCTTCTAAAGAAGAAAAAATAGATAGGGGCTTTGAAATTTCTGGTATGTACTTGTGCAGTTTTTTATATTCTTTCTCAAGGTATACATGAGCAATAAACTTGGGCTGATTGTTTCGATTGCATAGCTCGACAAATGATATAAATATTTTCTCAAAATTAGCGAGCTCAAGTACATGTAGTCCTGGAATTTGCAAAAGAATCGTTTTTGGTCTGTACATGTTACAGTGAAGGCCTGGTATTGAATAGTCTTGTCAGATCATTATTACTTGTAGTCCTCACTGCTTGGAAAGTTAGTGCTCAGGTATTTCCTTTTGCTGTTTTAATCATAGTTTTGTCACGTTTTATATTTTCTTAACATTTAAAGAACTCTTTATCAAGTTAGACACCAAAATTCATTTTCTCAAATGAGATTTTGGCCTGTGGTCTTTAAAATCAAAGATGTATAAAACAACGTACTGTATCTACTGTAAGTTCCATTCCTGTTTTGCCAATCTCTTAGAGAAACAATGCGACGTCCGTGGAACTTGAGACTCTCCTTTCTCCAAACCTAGCGTCAAGAACCCAAATTAACTTATGATAGGTAACTATGTACTTTATGCCTCACAAATTTCTCGGTATACCCGAGAGCACATGGAAGGTAATCCTGAAGGAATTTAAAAGGGAACTCCAATGCTATTTTGATATTTTGGGGGTTAGACAGACTCAGCATTGATGAGTGCATCTCAAAACACATTAAAAGTAAAATATACACAGTAACTTGTTAAACCTCCAATTTACATCACAAAATAGATTCAATTTCCAGGTACGTGCAGTGCTATATTCTGTGATTCAGAACAAGGCAACAAAACACCCGATGACATGAAGCAGCTTTATTGTAAGCAAGTGGGCCCGTGAATACACCTATTTTAATCCAATAGAAATATTGCTCTCGGCTTTGACACGGTTTTGTCAACAATACTCTGCATGCAGATCACGTTGAAACATTTCTGTGGTGAAATGCCTGCTGCACAACCTGTACTTGCTCGCTTTACATTATTAGTCATTACAGTGACTAGCGAGTGGGAAGGGCTGCATCGCATCACAATTCGTGGCAACAGTTTGAGACCAGGGGTTTGTGACAACATTGCGACTTACAGGAGGTTCACACAGTTCACGATTTTGTGCTTAATTTGGAATGTAATGTAAGAATCTTTCTATACTGTCAAAGAATTTATTTTGTTACTGAGATTTAATAACCGGTCTGAGAAATTGTGATCATAGTTCCCCTTTAATTGCTTCTAAAAAGTTAGCACACCATTTGATCCATGCAAGCTGTGCAACGCCATACAAATGATCTGCTGAGAGTAAAAATGCACCTCACCTCTGTACATACAGTATATGACAGAGAGGGTATGACTAGCAGCTGTTTAAATATGTATTACGTCACTAGTATATTATGACATCTATTTTGTGTGACCATTCCAATATGCCTCTTTGCTTGAGGTCTTACTGCAGCCAAAAAAATCTATTTTGCAGGCCCTTGTGGAGACTAATACTTCTGACTCACACTTGACTGCATTCATTTCTGGAAATTGTGTTTGTAGAAGAGCTTTGCTCTTGTGTGAAAACTGTCAGCCTGGCCAGATACATTTTTTTCCTAAATCCATTTAAATTAGCCCCTTTCCTTCCTTTTGTTTTTTGAGCTCTTTGTTATGCTGTTTTGTTTTGTAAGTGTTCGATGTTTGTTGTAAAAGGTTTACCAAAAATGTTTAAAAATTAAACAATGGAATGTAGTTCTGCGCTACATGTCTGTAAATTGAATAAAATGCTGGAATATATGGTTCCTGCCCCCTCCCAACCCCCAAAATAAGACTATTAAATCATATATTGAGACAAAAAGGAGCTTTAAAGATCCTTTTTACAGATTTCTGACTTTTTCATGCAATGGCCTTTTCTGATATATACTGTAGTATCCAAACAGGCATAGGGTTTCTTCTCTTGAGTAGATAAAACCAGACACATTAAATTTCCAGATGACATGTTTATGCTTTCCAAGGGCATTAACATTTGATTCAGTATGAGACTAGTCGATTTATGAGAGAAAAAAATGGATGGACTAATCTGATATGTGTAAATAGTTTCTTTAAAATTCCCCTGAATATTGTTAATGGATTATTTTTTAGAAAGTATATGTCTTGCTACAGCACTGTTTAATAGTCAGTTTAAAATAAGTATTCTTCAATATTCAAGATTAGAATGCAGATATTTGAATTTATATACAGTATTTACTTGTAATTGAGTTTTCTTTTATTATGTAAACGAAAAAGGCCGGCTTTTTCATTAAGTTTGATTTATGTCTGACATACCATAATTTGACAGTTAAAAATATTTGCACTGCAGTCAAGATAGTTTTGTGCTCCACGTTTTGGCTACAGTGTTTCCTTTGTCTTTGCTTGATAAAACCTGAAAGTGATTTAGTTGGTTTACGCAGAGCTTATACTTGATAAACTGAACTGTAGTCAGAGGGAATTTCATACTCTTTTTGAAAATGAAATCCCTTTATTTCAGGCACTTTTAGAACGTTACTCCAGCAGGCTACACGGACAACAAGGAACCAGAATGATTTCCCTATCATTGACCTCCATTGCCATCTTGGACAAAGGAGAAAATATAATTTGTTTCCATTTAGTTTGAACTGGAGGTTCAGGAACACAGATCTTGGAGAAAGAAGAAAATAAAATGTTGCCAAATTATTTATTTATTTTTTTATTTCCTGTTTCCATACACTGTGTTTTTGTTATTTATAAAAAGGCATAAGTAGTTTATTTCAAAAGCCATTCGTCATGAACTGTGAAAGTCTCAAGCCATAATTTATAAGGCAGTGGCCAAAAGTAACCATGCAATGCAAAAAGTATCCTGTGAAATCATTTTCCACAATATTTATTTTAAGAGTAGTTTAAATGTTCTTTAAATCATACTTATTTTTTCCATTTTTGTAAATGAATTTTGGCTAATTTATAGCAAAGTGGGGAAGCAGAACAATAAGACTATTATATTAGTGTAAAGAAGTAATTATCTATACCATTTTTAACTTTTGTTAGTCTTAAGTGAAATTACTGTATTTAAAATCCATGTATCAGATCAGCTCATTAATTTCCTATAAGAATCCAAGAAATGTTTTAATTTTTTTTTAGTTTCTTGAAAAGAAACTAATCTAATCTGGATGTAGAGCTATCCTTTGCAGACTGTTATAGAATATATCTTGTTTTGGATTTGTGGGCGTCTATATGAGGAAGAAGATACAAAATAATCTTGAATCATTCTAAAAAAAATAAGGCTGACATGGTTAGGTTTAAAGTGTAGAACTTGTAGTACTGTTAGTTAACCATTGTTGAAATTCTTCTTCATGGGAATCGGTAATACATTTTCTGGCACGGCAAATTTCTCAATAATTTGCAAAGCCGTTCCTGTGTTTTCTTATTGTTGTTTTTAATAGGATGGTGATCTGTAATAGACGAGGCTGTAATAAAATCAGGTTGTTACTGGACCAGGCTTGACCTTTCATTTCCTTTTCTGTGGGTCACCATTTGAGAAGTTTTGTCCTCAAATATTGTGTGTAGCTTTAGTACCACCTCATCACTAAATGCTTTCAATATGACATCTAAAAAAGTTGCTTTTAACTTCTCCATTTGCATCCATCTCTATAGCTGTGGGCCACTTTAATTGTCATGACATTGCAGCATTTGTTTTCTTCCGCTTTTCCTGTCACAGTCTCGTACTATGTAAAAAATGTGCAAAACAGTGACTTGAGCTTCAATATGGGTAATATTGATAGAATGTAGTAAGTGAATTTCAGACATTCAATAAAAGCACTAGTGATCTGCCTCATTTGGCTTTTTAGCTGCTGGTAACACATTTTATTCAGCCTCACAGTAAAGTACTGAACAATTAAACGCAAAGGTATACATATTTGTGAGTGGAGTTGACTGATGTCTCAATCCTGGTTGATAACCTTCTGTTGCAGTATTCTGAGAAATATTACACGGGAAGTTAAAACAATCACATGCAGTGTAGTACGCAATACTAATAAATACTGGCCTAACAAATTCGAGGATCTAATATTCAGACGGAAGCAAATGAAGCAAAAATACAGTGCTGGACTATGGGCAATAATAGCAAGTAAGGTGTGCATTTGTATATTCTAGAAACGAATATCTAAAGCAACAGAGTTCAACAAAACGTGCTTGCAGTTTGCTGTTTAATGTATAGCACCACAGAAGAGCACAGTTTTAACATTACTTAGCAGTAAGGTTATAGCAGTATTAGGTTTTGATTTTGTGTTGACTGTTAGGTGGTGGTCAAAGAATGTGCATTCCTGAGGTGCTGCAAACTCATTCAATTACTGGGGATTACAGAGGAGAGCAAACAGAAATATTAGGCTTGAGAGTGATGGGGAAAGTAGAACCACCTGGTTAACAGGAGATGATTGGAAGGAACGAGATTAGGGAATGCAGTTCGAATGGGGCTGAATAGAGAGAATAGGCCTGACGAAGGTAACAGATCTCGACCAAGAGGTGAGCATACAGTATAATTTGAATTGGAAAATTTAGATATAGCCTATGGCCTGTGGACTTCATTCCAGAATGCCTAGTTTAGATACGAAGGATTTTCCAGGACATAAAAAGCAGACAAGTGAGAATTAAAAACACCAGTGACTTTTGAATGATTGTGTATGTTTTCATTTTGTTCACAGATCAGTGTGCGAGTTACCACTATGGATGCTGAGCTGGAGTTTGCCATCCAGCCAAACACAACAGGCAAACAGCTTTTTGACCAGGTAAGTTTTTTTTTTTACACGTTTTGAAAGTCTTAAATCGACGTTACTGTTTCAGACTTTGATATAACTATGGTATCATATGGTATGGTATCAACACATAGATCAAGTCATAACAGGATTTAGTGTATTTGAACTAACATGGGAATCAGTCCTTAACTTATGTCAATTTTGTACTTTGACCCTTTTGATTCTTTCCGAAAACTCACATCTGACTCTGTATAGTGAGTTGTGTGTTGTAATTTTCAGGTGACAGTGGGATCTGTCAGTTGTGATATATTAATGTCACCTACAGCAACCAAAACACACCTAAAACATTCCAGTGAAATTGGATTATAGTTTTTTTTTCCAGTGTGAAATTCTCCACAAACACAGGATTGAAAAGTTCATTAACTAGTGTTTTGAATACTGATGTGGCTGGAAATTTTAAGGAGATTCGGCGTTGGAAAAAAGTGGAAAAACATATAATAGGGCTAAAATGAGCAAATCATCTGTCAGTACGAAAATATACAAGGACCTTCCTAGGATGGTGGCCAGACCTTATTAAATGGAGGTTTGGCAGAACAATTTTGAGAGCTAACACCACTAGACATTTTCCAGGAGATGTATAAATATACTAAATACACATATTTAGGTCAATCAAAACATCTGAAGAAATGCCTGCATGTAAAAACCATAAGACAGTTTACAAATGAGACAAGGCCATTAAGGTTATATCTTCTTTGTAGTTGCCCATTGAAATGGAAAGGTATACAAGAAAAAAAATAGTTGACCTAATTCGAAGGAAACAGCTTTACCTTATTATCAAATTGCATAGTGTCATTTTAATAAAATATTGCTTTTAAAAAGATAACTTAATGAAAAGCAATGGCTTATGCTTCTTTGAATGAGTTCCGGTACATGTTTCAGGCATACCTCCAAAAATAATTTAATGATTTTACTGGAGTCTTGTGGGGTGTGTGGTGACATTTAAACCTTCTGGCAGTCATTTCTGCATTTGCCAAACAGTAGCAAGGAGACAGGAATGCCAAGATTAAGAGCCACTGAAACAGATGACCTGAACATCTACAGTTGTTTTTGACCTCTTTCACCAGACTGTTTTCTATCCCAGCAGTAGTCCCACAGGTCCAATTCAGACAGCTGACGAACTCTTACTCATAGTCCATGGGATGACTCAGTTTTCTGTTTCCGAGGCAATACAGACTGGCTTTGTTACAAGTGTCTATTACTTTCGTTTACAGCTAGCTCCTCCCCTACATGCTACACATTACGTGATATAAAGGAATATTTAAGTATTTAGATCTTGATTTTTTTTGCACCTTTGTGCAGCTCCAAAGCAAATAAAATGAGACATCCACACACCTTAGCAAACTTGCCTTCTATAACAGGAATCTGCAAAATGGGTAGTTTTATTATTGAAAGTTGTAATAAGCTTTAACTGTTAGCTTTGCAAAACTGTGTGCAGTTCCTTCTTAATTTTAGCTCCAACTACATTACAAAAGAATTTTGCACTCACAGGGATAATTGTGCCCTTAATATCCTGGAGCTTTCAATATAGACGTTTCAAACAATCAGACTTCAAAATAGAAGTTCTGTCAAAATGCATTCCTTAATCTCTTCCTTACTGGATATGTTCAAATTATAGTTGTCAGATCCTGTTGCTGACGGGGGCTAGCAGCGATGGGGGAGACAAAAGTTGAATATGCACAGGGCAAGATGGCTAACAGTGTACCAGGGAAACTGCGCAGCAGTAGAGACTCTGTGTCTGAGTGCACAGGGGAAAATGGACCAGCATTGCACATTTACACAGGGACTGGGGTTGATCGGGAAGTGTACATTGGGAGACAAGCTGCAGGCAGGGAATATAGTTCAGATCCGTGGTTGAGCAGGGGGTTGAATCTGGGGGATGAGACATCAACAGAGCAAAGCACAAAGGACAAATCCAAAAGGCATTGTTCGAATGGCAAACGGGGTCAATGCCGAGTTAACATGGAAAACAAGCCAAGGGGTGATCTGGGATCGAGGTAGAAAGTAGAAGAGGTCAAGATTCCAAGCAAGCCAAAACTAGGGACTCGGAGAGGCAACCCTGAGCAATGTCCTAGGGGTACTGGGAGTTGGAGATGTCCTTAAGTACTCTGCACCTACTAATCCAGGTGAGGATGTAAATTGGCCACAGGTGATGCAGATTTCCTGTCGGCATTCCTTTCCATGGTAACAAGCTCTGAGTGACAGGAGTGTGGCTGGTTTACATTGAAAATGCTGGCTTGTTCCACAGTGTTAACTTGGGGTTAAGCCTAGCAATAGTTACAACAATGTTTCTGCCTTGTGTTTACAACATTTGAACTTGACCAATTAATAAGTAAATAGGTTAGTAAGGTATTTTATGGGAAAATAGGCTTTTCATGTGTTCTGCAAAGAATAAAACTAATGTAGGAGGATTTCCTGTTGATTAGTCATAGAACTAAAAGAGTAAGCATGATATCACCCTCTCAGTCAGTACGTCTAAGTATTGTCTTGGGGTGTCTTGGCACTGGTTGCTGTAGATTTTATATGGGCACATAGTGGATGGTCACAGTGCTTTGGTTCAAGAAACATAATCTTCTACCTTAGTAGCAGTTCTTAGTCTTGGTGCTCAAGTACCCTTGACTGCAGGTTTTGGTCCATTCAAGCTGAGTTCTTAATCATAGGCTAATTTAGTTACATTTCCTATTTGAGGTGTTTTTTATGTATGCTTTCAGCTCTTAATATGTTGAAAGAGATTTATTTTTGGTATGAACTCTGTGCTAATGAGTGAGTACTAGGATGTCCCTTATTCAGTTATGCCTGCTGAAATCAAGCTAATTTGATGTAAGCAGAAGGAAACTTGATAAATCAGTGGTTATCTGATAGTGTTATTCCTACTTTTGTCTGTTCGCTATTAGTTGTACCTATTGGAGAGCGGTTTTGTCAGAAATAAGGGAACAAATGAATTATTTTCTAGTTCAGTAGGGACAACATAAAATTCTGTTTGTTGAACTAAAAATTTGAGTGGACAAAAAGTCCAGTAAGCAGATCAGTTACAGCCAATGGTTTAGGACCGAGAAGCACTGCTCTTCACACTTCAAGATTGTTTGAGACAGACCTAGAATTTGTTTTTAATTTTGTTTTTAGTTTGTAATAGTTTATATTGTTGGCTAAAGCAGTATCCTCTCTTGCTAGGTCTTAAATGTTCTAATTTTCCTTAAACTTTTGCAGACTTGTTTTAAATGCTAGACCCTGAATTTTTATATTTTTATGGAAGATGCTATTTGCTTCTTATGGAGCGTATAGATGGGCAGAAAGTTGGGGCATTGGAACTGCATGGAGCACAGTAGGGGAATTGCTGTTCAGATAAATATTCCAGGTGTGATGCTGTAAACTCTAATTTCATAGTGCACTATAGTTTCAGTGTCAAAAATGGCTGCAATTTCACAGGCCAGGATTGCTAGTCATATCCACTGAATGTGTAAGCTTATTAGCTACTCTTAAGACTACCATTTTTTTATAAAAAATAAGGACAGGTTAAGGCACAGTATTGAAATAGTGAAATGCTTGCTTTGCCTCAGTACTGCTTTAGAAATGGAGAAATGATTTGAACATGTTTATATAACAGCAATAAATGATGGAGTCTTAAAATTAAAATTAATAGGACAGGAGATGACAACTGTTTCAATTTACTGGTTTACATAATTTCTTTGGGCTCTCCAGACTCTTTCAGTTATGTTTTTTAGTGTGTTCTTGGCAGATTAATGTATTATAGCTGCTAC